GCACGGGGACTCCCGTGTTTAATTTTCCTTCCTCTAAGGCTCCTCCATTGTCTGTCAGAGGTCCCAGGGAGGGATCTCTGTTTGTCTGCCTTCCTTGCAAAGGAAGAGGTGCTCACAGCCTTTCCTCAGGACAGCACAGGCTCTCAGCAAGGAGGGTGTCAGCAACAGTGTCTGTAGTATCGAGAGACAGGCCATTCGTGCTCTTGCACGGCCCCTTTCACGCTGCAGTGTTGCCAGCGGGAGTGGAAGTACTTTGGTGCCTGTGGGCAATGTGCTGCCTGAATCCAGCCGAGGTTCATTTTATACTGTTTGTCTTTTACAGGATTTGTTCTGGGAGGTGCGTTTGGTGTCTTCACAGCTGGCATCGACACAAACGTTGGGTTTGACCCCAAGGATCCATATCGCACACCAACTGCAAAAGAGGTCCTCAAAGATATGGGGCAGCGAGGTATATCCTATGCAAAGAACTTCGCCATTGTGGGCGCCATGTTCTCCTGCACCGAATGTGTAGTAGAATCTGTGAGTAATAACTTCTTAAGCATTAAGAAATGTTTTCTTATACACTTAATAATCTCTTTTACTAGATCCCAATAAGCATGTATATGCCCTTTGTAATAGGCAAGGAAGTAGGCTAGTGTGTTCTGTTTCTTGGCCATCAAAGCTTTTCAGCTTTGAGACCTATCTTCAGAATTGCTGTTCTCTGAGAGAATGAGCTGAAGAGCATGCAACAGCAAGGTCCTTTGCAGTTCAACTCCTGAATGTATGGGCAAGTGTAGGCATTACTTCTTAAAGCCCTAGCTACAAGCACTTGTTGTTACTTTAAAACATCAAACTGCGAGTTGCAACATGGTAATTTGAGCTTCTAAAAATTCCGTATGCAGAAAGGGATCCTTTGATGAAAGTTCTTAAGTAACAGACCTATTTTCATCTTGCCCCTACAGCAAGAAATGACCTTGTGCAGCTCAGTGGTAAATCTATCATCCATTTTCTTAAATAGGAAAATTAGCCTGTTATGAATTTGAGTACTGCCTTTTAATTGAAAGACAGAATTATTTCTTAACTTGACTAGATGAGAAGCGTATCTGCTCACACAATGGAGCGGAAAAAAGAGCTCTCGCTACACTGGTGAAAAACTAGCATGCTCTGGCTATGGAAATAGTACGTCTTTGTCAGGATGGTGCTGTGGCTTTCACATGTGCTGAGAACCAGGCTGCATGGCCAGGCTCAGCGTTGCACTCATGTAGTTATAGTGCCTTTGAAATCTCTGAGCTGGTGCTAGCGCACAGTGCTGCGTTCTGGGGGCTGTATCAGCTCACCTGAGAATCTTTGCCATAACACTGCATTGCACCATATGGATTTGTCTTACCTCTCCCTGTGACCTGTTCCTTCCTCTCCTCCTGGCCCTGCCAGTCTTGTGTTTGAGAGTGCAGGGGGCCATCTGCTGAGAACAGAGGGAAAAACATACTCCGCGGAGAAGGGGCTGGAAGGTCATTTAATCTTTCTTGGTATTAGTACAGATACTGAGTGTTTATTCTGTATTTACTTGTTCACTCTGATTTTTAATTCCACAGTATCGTGGGAAGTCAGACTGGAAGAATAGTGTTATTAGCGGCTGCATTACAGGAGGAGCAATCGGCTTCAGAGGTTGGTAGTGCCTGCTGTGAACTATTTCTGTGATAGGACTCTCATTTGGTTATGCAGCATCCAGTATTTTTAACAGAACATGCACTACAAATCTCTTTGCATGGGGTTATGGTGATGTCAACATGAGAGTGTACTCCAGACTGGCAGAACTGCTCTCGCTACTGCTTTCCTGTCAGCTTGAAGGATATGTGTGGGTAGGGAAGTCTTAGTCGTACAGGACAGTGAGAGTGGAGGAAAATCAACAGAATTGACTCGAAAGAAAAATCATGAAATGGTGTTAGCTATCCACACTTTCTGTGGTGGTGTGGGGAGGGAGCCAAAAATACATTCTGAGCAACTCTCTGAAGCTACAGCTCTTGTGGTAACAGAGCTCTACTTATATTTACTATTTCACTGGCAGCAACTCTGTTAATTTGCACAGTGTGTGAAATGGTTTTCTGCTTTCTCTCCTATCAATTCAAAGAGATGATTCTATTTAGCTGTAAAAGAGCAGGACCACTGGGATTTTAGTCCAGCAGGCACTGGTGGGGACTTCAGGAAGCCTTGAGTGCTAACAACATCTGCAGAAAAGCCCCAAGTAGGAAGAGAGCTGCTGTGCTCATCAGAAGTATCAAACTCTCACCTCTCCTTAAGAAAAAAAAACTGTCCACAGAGCATAAAAGAAAAGAAAGTGCTCTTGAAAGCGCTTCTAATTGAGCTTGTTAAGTTGTATCTGTCCTGGACCTAATCCTCTTGGAGCTTTCAAAGCAGTAGCTGCTCTTCCAGTTCCTCCCTAGTCCAGCAGCGAAGCCACTTGCAGCACTCGGACCAGAGTGCATTGAAATCCGCAATGGCCACTGGTGTTTTCGGTCCCTTTGGGGGAGAGTTAGCAAGACAGCGCCCAGCCAGCGTGCCATGCTAGTCCAGCCGTGGCAGTTTTAAGTCCAGTGTGTGCCAGGTTCTCCCCCATCGCCGTTTAAGGTAGTGCCAGTGTTCCCTGGTAGCAGACCGCCAGCTTCCTGCAGTTGTAAGCTCTTCAAGCCAGCACAGCACAAGCTAGTTGCTGGGAAGAAAAGTATCTTTCCTATTTTGTCTCATTCTTTCCCACCCTTTTTGCATTGCAGCTGGTTTGAAGGCAGGGGTTATCGGCTGTGGTGGATTTGCCGCTTTCTCTGCTGCAATTGATTATTATCTACGGTAACAGTGGAATCCCTTGGGAGCAAGTTTCCCTTTTGTTCCAGTGCTGCTGCTAAGAGCCTGCATCACGGCAGAAGAACCATCAGGCTTACCTTTCCACTGCTTTTGGAGTCCTGATCAGCGCGAGCTGGATGGTGTTGGCCGCTTTTCCTGAATGACTAACAATAATCTGGCTCTAAGCCCTGGCGTGCTGCTTCAGGCAGACTTGTGGGAGTATGCAAGGATGGAGCCAGGCGCAGTGAGCAGTATCTCCAGGATGGATCAGCTGACTGTCAGTTTCCAGGAAACAAGCCTGGACTCTGAGTTTTTTTGATCCTTTGGGTCTGATTTTGATTAAGTTTGTTGCTAGCATCAAAAGAAGCAGGAGGACAATCTTCAAAAGAAATGCAGTGATTTAGGTTACCGTATATTTGAATGTGCTGCAAGTGTTTAACAGTTAGCAGTTTGCAGCTTGCCATACTGTTGGGGAGAGGTAAGATCCTGTGGAGAAGTAAGTTTGTTCCAGGCTTTTCTTAAAATACCAGCTGAAGACAAACCACCATCTGTACAACTTGTCTTATTTCAAGTACAGAGCGAGCCAGATTTCTTTACCATGTCTTAAAGGGAAAAGCAAAAAGGAATCCTTAGCCTTAGAACCATGCGGTTACTGGCAGATGAACAAAACCGTTTAAGGGGGGAAAAAAGAGGTTGTTGCAGAAGTATAATTCTCTGTAGCCACTTGGCTAGCCCGATTTAACCTCGCTGTGGGAGTACAAATAATCTTGCTACTGCTTTAACTGCCACAGGCTCACACCATTAGTTCCAGCAGTTTGATAGTGAGACTAGAAAGCAGAGTTGTGAGAATAAACTGCTGTTAGACAGCTAACTGGGCATTCATTTAACACACAGTCTGTTTCCCCGTCACGTCCCTGTACCACCTCTGAGTGCCCCAGTCTTACACTGGGGGAAGTGAAGTGTTAGTTCTGCAGAACATTGGTACTGAAATCAAAACATCTGTTCATTAGCTTAACGAGCTGCTCCCTTTTTGATTTGCATTCGTGTTAGCCCTCTTGCTTTTCTAACTGAGCTCTGTTCTCAGGCCTCAGGGTGTAATTTTTATACTCGGAATAGTTCAGGCTGATTTTAACCTTCATTGAGCTAGTCTGCAAGGGCAAACACCCACCCCCTTTTTGAGCGGGATTTCAAATTCAGTGCACACACCTAACAGAGGTTCTCCCACCCACTTCCCCTCCTTTGCATCCACAGTTTGACATCCCAGAATGGTGACAGCACTTGCTTACCTGGAAGAGCAATAGTGTGGATGCTACAGTGGTCAGTTTGGAGGCATATTGTCCCCCATTCCCACATGGGAAGAAGTGGGAAGATGGCACCATGTGATCTATCAGATGAGGCTTCCAGATCGCCTGATGTCCCTTGCTGTGCCTGTTCAGTATCCTCAGGCCAGAAGCTGTACAAGTCAGCTGAATTTTAAGCTTGAGTAATTCTGGGCTGATTAAACAGGCTGGCTCCAGACAGTCCAGGGTTTTTTCTCCAGAATGTACTGAAATGCAAGGATGTAGCCCAAACCATAAGATGTCTCTTAAAAGATTGCCTGGCACAATGCCTGTGCTTATACCACTGAAGTGCAACTAGCAAGGTTTCCACGACAGAAAGAGAAGAAGCTGTGATGCCAAGGTGATCAGTTAGTGCAAACAGCAACACCACAGGGCTCCTTTTGTGCAAATGTTGGGGCTTTGCATTTTTATTAACATTTTTTTTTCCTCCTCACATGGTTTACAGCCATTTAAAGTTTATAATCTACAGAAATTGAAACAGAACACAAACAAAAATATATCCTTAACAACTTTTGAAAGTCAAATATTAATTAACAGTTCTATTCTACCTGTAGCTGCAGGAGTCCACCCCCCTCTTTTCTTTCCTGTAGGGACAAGCAAAAGCCAATCATGGGGACAGCCGCAGCCTGTTGTGCCAGGGCTGTGTGGACCGGGCCTCCAGCCACTGTGGCGTGGGGTGGGAATTTGGCTGTACAGAGTCTCCATCTGGAATGACAGTATCGTGGACACATGTAACAAATCAGACACACACAGGGATCTGTTGTGCAGTCAGATCGAAAACTCAGCCTCCTTACTGGGTCCAGGGCCAAGACAGACGCCTGGTTATTTTCTGCAATGCTGTTTCCCTTCTGTTTAGCTGGTAGTCAAGAGGAGCAGGGTCTGGAGTGTGAGCCCTTTGGAGGGGGACTAAAAGACCTCCCCTCCTTTAGTTGCTTTGCTGGTGCAGGGCCGGCAGGTGCTGCCTTCCCCGGGGAGGTGGGCTTAGGACATACCTGGTGCATCAGTGGCAGGCGGCCGGGCTCTACCTGGAACAGTCTGTTAGTCGGGAGGGTAAAGGCAATGCCACTGTTAGCAGGGATACGCTTGGTCACTTCTCATCCATCTCCATTTGGCACAGGAGTGCACAGGGCCAACGCAATCGGGGAGGGAGGGCTTTTCCCACGAGAACACGGACTCGGCTCACAGAGCGAAAGGTTTTGTGTCCCAACAGGTACCAGCACCTACCTGTGAGTGTGGGAGGGTGAGGGACGTACGAGGAGCCAGGCACTCAGGCAGCCAGAGCACAGCCTGGCAGCAAGCACGGGCATGCGGCCATCCTGCCTTGGGACGTGGCGTGACAACTCCAGCCATCAGCCTGGGGGTCAAGAACTGGAGCCACTAACTAAAACGGACCTGAGCTGGCCAGGCACGGCTAACCCAGCAGCAACTGCTTTGTGAGAAAGAGAAAAATGAAGCACTTCTGCCTTCGGTAGTGAGGGCCACGAAGGCTTTCCTCCTCCCATCCCATCCCTCTGCGCTGGTTTCCAGGCTGGGTGACCGTCCAGTTGCCGCAGAGCGCTCGCCTCTGGCAGCCTGGCTGGCACAGAGGCAAGGCCATGTGCTGCCATTTGCCCGGTGCCCAGGGCAGTGCGGAAGGCCAAGGAGGGAAACAAAAACATCCCCGTTCTCCTGGCCACAGCAGGAACGCTGGTGCCTCGGCAGGCTCTGCCACAGGGTGCAGCCAGCATCGGCAATCCTTGCAGCAGTGCTGGCCCGGCAGAGGCGTGCACGCCTCGCTACGGCAGAGATACGGGCACACGGAAATAGCAGGGACCCTGTTCCCCACCCTGCCAGGGCTTGTTGGGGAAACTGGGGGATCCATGTGCCCTGATGGGATCCCATCGGTGCCAGAGCACAGACCTGGGGTCAGCCCGTGGTGGAGGAAGCAAACCTGCCTGGCTGGCCATCCCTCAAGCCTGCCGTGGATCGAGACCAGCACAGCACCTCTCGCTCCAGCCTTGTGTGATGGGTTACCCCAAAACGCTACTTGGAGGTGAGATACAGCGAGGGAAGTAACCGCCATGCTACACGCACACAGGCAAAGCACAGGATAAGGGCTGTAGAGGGGACTGGCCTGGAAGCACCCAGAAGAGATGCGGCGAGGAGGAAGCAGCAACCCACTCCTCTGCTCTTGTGGTCGCAGATTTGCCCGGGCCAGAGCAGGATCCAGGCACGGGGTCCAACGTTTGCGCAGGCAGCAAGCCAAAGCAGGGCTGGTCGTCACCGTCATCGGGGAGGGAAGCTCGTGAGCTCCCAGCCTCTGAAGCGAGCCGGTGCTGCACATGCAGGTGTGGGGCAGGGATGCTGGGCAGCGAAACAGGCACTCGTGGGATGCTGCAGGCTTCGAGCTGGGCGAGACGAGGGGTGCCTGGTAGGAGTGAGCAGGCAGAAAGGAGTCCAGGAGAAAACTAGCCAAGGGAGAAGCCTGTGTCCACAGCCCTTGTCAGTCACTACCTCTTCCGTTGAACAAATATACATAAAAACAATTCTTGAACACAAGAAGGGACATAAGACACGACTACTTTACAGAGAGGCACGGTGCCTGGGGTGGGACCGGGCCACTGGTACACGATTGTACAGGAGCTGCAGGTGGCACCGTCCTGGGTCCGGGCCGGTCTCCCTGGGCGGCTGCGATCCAGTCCGTGTCTCCCAGCAGGGAGCTGGGAGTGTTTGCAGCTGGTGCCTTCTCCCTGCAGGCTACACGTCCGTGGAGAAGTAAAGTGTGTTGCGTTTCAGCTCAGTGAAGGAGATGGGAGGATGCTGCAGGTAGTAGAGAAGGACCTGGACCTGTAGCAGGCAAATGGGGGGGGTGTTAGGCTAGAAAGGGGCAGAGCTGCCACCTCCCAGCTTGTCCCTGTGCAGCCA